GAACTTCTTTTAAGGTTATTTCTACTTGTTTCATTCTTTCTTTCTTTTTTTTTTTTTTTTTTGAGACAGAGTCTCGCTCTGTTGCCCGGGCTGGAGTGCAGTGGCCGGATCTCAGCTCACTGCAAGCTCCGCCTCCCGGATTTAAGCCATTCTCCTGCCTCAGCCTCCCAAGTAGCTGGGACTACAGGCGCCCGCCACCTCACCCGGCTAGTTTTTTGTATTTTTAGGAGAGACGTTGTTTCATTCTTTCAAATTGAATTATAAACAGAATTGCTTTCTCAGTTTTGTTTTTAGGTTGTTCATTTGTGGTGCAGATAAATATAACTGATTTTTGTATACTGATCTTGTATCAGCAACTTGGCTGAAGTTGTTTATTGGTCTATCTATCTATCTATCTATCTGTCTATCTATCTATCTATTTGTATACACACACATTTAAAAGTGAATTCCTTAGAAGCTTCTATATACAAATTAATCTGTGAATAGATATAGTCTTACTCTTTCTTCCCAATCATATACATATTATATCTTTTCTTTTTGGCTTAATAGTTATGACTAGAACCTCTTGTACAATGCTAAAGAGTTGTGATGAGAGCAGACATCCTTGTATTATTCCTGATTTGGGTGAAAACTTCAGCCTTTCATTGTAAAGCATAATGTTAACTGTGGATTTTAAAATAGATACTCTTTATCAGAATTAGGAAATTCCCTTTTATTTCTAATGTTATCTTTTATCATGAATGATTATTGAATGTTTTTCAAATGTTATATTTTCACCTACTGAGATGATTGTATGGACTTTGTCCTTTATTCTGTTAATGTTGATTATTATATTATATTATTCTATTAATATTGATTTTTGGATGTTAGACCAACCTTAAATTCCTAGGAGAAATCCCATTTTGTCATGGTGTAGAAGCCTTTTTATATATTTATGTATTTTTGAATTTGAGAATCCTTTTCTTTCGTTTATGACCTCATAAGTGATGTTTTTCTGTAGTTTTCTTTATTTTCTTTTCTTATTATGTCATTGTCTGTTTTTGTTATGAGGGTAAAATGCCTCATAGAATCAGTTGGAAAGTATTTTATTCATGTCTACTTCTTGGAGAAGTTTGTGAAGGATTGGTATTAACTCTTAAAATGCTTGGTACCATTTACCAGTGAAGCTACTGGTAAGCTTTTATTTTGAGAAGTTTTAACATGACTAATTCAATCTCTTTAATTCGTCTATTCAGATTTTGTTTATTTTTGAGTCAATTTTTGCTGGTCATGTCTTCCTAGGAATTTGTCTATTGCACGTCAATCATCTAATTTATTGGCATACTGTTGTTCATAGTATTCCCATATATATCTCTATCTTTAAGGTTATTAGTGATACCCCTTCTTTTATTTCTGATTTTAGTAATTTAAGTTTTTATGTTTTTCCTTGGTCACTCTAGCTAAAACTTTTGTTAATTTTGTTGATATTTTCTTTTCTTTTTTATTTTTAAGATGGAGTCTCAGTCTGTTGCCCAGGCTGGAGTGCAGTGGCACGATCTCGGATCACTGCAACCTCTACCTCCTGGGTTCAAGCAATTCTTCTGCCTCAGCCTCGCGAGTAGCTGGGATTATTACAGGCACCCACCACCATGCCCAGCTAATTTTTGTATTTTTAGTAGAGACAGGGTTTCACCATGTTGGCCGGGTTGGTCTCGAACTCCTGACCTCAAGTGATCCACCTACCTTGGCCTCCCAAAGTGCTGGGATTATAGGCATGAGCCACTGCGCCCATACTGATATTAAAAAAAAAAAAAGAAAATCAATTTTTGGGTTTATTAATCTTCTCTCATATTTTCTGTTTTCTGTTTCGTTTGTTTGCACTCTAATCTTTATTATTTCTTTTTGCTTATTTGTGGTTTGTTCTTTTTTAGTTTTGAAGGTGGACGTTTAAATTATTGATTTGAGGTGCTTATTGTTTTTAATAAAGGTATACATTTTAAATATATGTGTCTTGCAGCTATAACTTTTACTGTAAGTCCTGCATTAGCTGCATTCCATAAGTTTTGTTACGTTGTGTTTGTTTTCATTTATATAAAGGATTTTGTAATTTCTCTTGTGATTTCTTCTTTGACCCCTTGGATATTCAAGAATGTGCAGTTTAATTTCCACATATTTGTGAATTTGCCAAAATTTCTTGCATTACTGACTTCTAATTTATCCCAATTGTGGACAAATAACATTTTAAGTATGATCTAAATAATTTTAAATTTATTTAAACTTGTTTTATGGTCTAACATATGGTCTAGCCTGGAGAATGTTTCCATGTGTGCTTGAGAAAAATGACTATTCTGCTATTGTTAGGTGGATTCCTCTATAGATGTCTGTTAGACCTGTTTGGTTCATAGTGTTGTTAAAGTTCTGTTTCCTTTTTGATATTCAGCATAGTTCCTCTGTCCAATATTGAAAATGAGGCATTAAATAGGTTCTAACTATGATTGTTGAATTATCTCTTTCTCCCTTGCATTCTCTCAGTTTTTGCTTCATGTATTTTAGGTATCTATTAGGTGAATATATATTAACAGTTATTATCTATTCCTACTATGAAATTCACAGAATTCTACAAAATTGTAGGTTTTATTGCTCATTAGGAAAGTAACTTGGCCTCCCTTTTCTCATCTTTAAAATGGTGAAAATAGTACCATGATGGGTGTAGTATGAGGAATAAAAATGCTTAGTAATTTAAGGTTTTTATCTTAAAAAACTCGATAAATGAGTTTTTTTTTTTTTTTTTTTTTTTCTCTTGTCTTTCTGAGATTGTTTTCCCATTGAGATTGCATTGTACCAGATTTGGTATTCCTTAGGAGATGTGTTTACAATCTTTAATCATTGATACTCTTCCTATTAGGTTGAACAGAAGAAAATACTGCATTTAGCTCCTCAGCCAGACGGTGGGATAGTGGAGTAATACCGCCATAGAATCCTTGGAAGACAGACTCCCTTTGATGTCTGTTGGTCTTTTCTGCTTTAGAATATAGGACAGGGACTGTCTAGATTATCTGCCATGAGGCAGTTATCAGTTACTGATTACCCCTTGATGATATTATGTCAAAGATTTTATTATCTTTTTGCCTTGGCTGTGGCAAATATAAGGCACCAAAAATGGAAGAAAAAATAACCTTCAAACAGCTTGTTATTTTAAAATAACTACTTATTAACAGGTTAATTTATATTAATTCAATTGAGCTATTTTTCTTAAAACCGGTTTTGTTTTTTATAGATGGGACATGATTCTCTAGATCCCTCAGAGGAGTAGGTGTTTCCTAGAAAGTCCGAATTTACAAGTTAATCTCTCCTGCATGACTTAAATATCTCTTATTCTAATTTAAGTTTTTAAAGCTTATAGTCCATCTTGCACTTGAAAAGTAGCTCCTAAGTCTCCTTGCTCTAATCTTAGTGATAATTGTAATTGAGAATGCCAATGATGGTGAAATGGTATTAGCAGAATGTTATTGTAGATTTGCCTCTTTCCTTTCTTCACACATTGGTTATCTCTAAAGGAGATTGTACAGCAGGAGGAGATATGGTCACCTTGAATTGTGAGACTTGCTTCATGAAAAATGAATGGGAAGAAGCCAGGGAATCACTGATTGGCAAGGGTAGGAAGTGAAATTGTAGGATTTTTTTTTTTTAATTTGAAGACTTTAAGTCTAAAACTTAGTAATTTTTCAGTAATTAATTTTCTACATTTTTAAAAAAATAGAAAAATAGTTTTCTTTGTGGAATTTTGTTCATATATCATGTCTAAAGACAGAAACCAATGGATTGATATTTATCTACAGTGACATATTCCATGTAGTTCCCTGGCATTTTCTTTCTTTTTGAGATTTTTAGTTCTATCTAGTAATTACTGATGGAAAAATAATGATTACATAAAACATCTACAGGAACAGAAAAGAGTAAAAAGACCAGTACCCAAATCTTAAGAGCAGTTGAACTTAGATGAGCTCTGGATGATTTTACTTTGCAATTTCTACTTTTTTGTATTTTTAGGTATCCTTTGAAAGTATGCTTTACTGAGTATTTGTAATTTAAAAAATAAGTTTGTATCTTATCTAAATTAAGACCAAATGGATATATCAGGTACCCTGGTTAGCTTGTTCCTTCAACCTGTTTTTACCTTGTCAAACACCATGTTGATCATCTTAGGCATCGTGGTATGTAATGCTTTCGAGCATAAAACAGATACTAGAATTCAGATATAGAACATTATTTTTGTCAATATTTATTTTTAAATAATCTCTAGAACAAAAGAAATTTAAAAACAAAAGGCTTAAAGTGTATTAATACCTGCATGTTAATAATTTAATATTTTTCCCGAGTGATTGCACAATGCTTAAATATAATTAAACAAAAAGATGCAATAAAGTATAATCCCCCAACATTATCCCATAATCTGATTTTAAGTAAATATTACATTTGTAAGTATTTTATGCTCTGTTTTTTTAAAATATAGTCACTACTATATGTACTTGCTTTTATGTTACATAGCTTTTAATATGTAACTTAATCTCTGAGACATTATTTAGTTGAGAGGCCTCAGTTGATTAAACATAGATTTTCTTATTATAAAATCAGAAATGATAGTACTTGCTTGTAATAAGTGGAAAGGTTAACATTTATAAGGTTCATAATCTTTGAGCAGTTACATATATGCAAAATAATTACTGCAATTACTCTTAGATGATAGTCCTTGGTTTGAGAAAAAGTTTGGTTTGACATTTAATAATTAAGCCTTATTGCATGATACTTCTTTGACTCAGCAAAGCCACATACAATATAAATCAAGTGTAGAGGACTTTGGTTTTTAAATGTTAAAAATATAATTGGAGCAGATAGGTACCTAAAATATGCTCTTATAATAGGAATTAAAAGCCATTTAGTAAGTCCACATTCATTTCCTATTTGATTACTAAATATTTAAGAGTTTTTCAGTTATGGCCTGTCTCACAAAGGAAGTATGATTATCTAAATATGTGCTTTTTTTTTTTTTTTTTTTGATAAAGGAATTGCTTGCTCAACTCAGTGCTTTCTGTAAAACATTGCAAAATTGTGTGCATCTGCTAGTTAAAACCATGACATATAGCAGGCTAAAATGGAACAGAATTTGATTGCAGACCTGAAGCTGATTTTCTTGGTTTTGCTACCAAAACCATATCCTGCTAGAGTATGTTCAAGATTTTTTGAACAGTCCGTGAAAGGTGACAGGGATGTTAATCTCCACTTCAGCCCGGGCAACTTCACTTAAGTCCTTGGCATTCAGAATCAGGAGATAAGCAGGCTTTTGTCCTGCTCCTGGGCTCACCACCACACTCAGAACTACACCTGTTTATCAGAAGTAAATAAGGCAATATTGAGTTTTTAAAAGCCCAAGCTATAGATTAAATGTCATTGAAATAATATAGGAGGTATTACATTGACAAATATAGAAAGCCATATGACCTGAGTTCTTTTTCTGACTCTTGTACCACCTGGCATGAGACTACCTAAAGAGGTCTTTTAAACTCTTTATGTACCCTACCTACACTGTAAGCTCTAAGAAGGGAGTGTCATGTCTGTCTTGCTCACTGCTATATCTCAATATTCTATGACAGTGGCTACAGCATAGTAGGTACTCATTAAATACTTACTGAATAAATGGATCTGTTCTTATCTGTAACATAAAAATATAGCACCTGCTGTACATACTGTAAAAACTGTGATGATCAAATGAAAAGTGTGTATTAAAAGACTTTGAAAGTAGTAAGATATATCATATATATGATTTCTAAGATTGTTCTGGAAGCTGACTTCCTTCAAACAAAATGAGAACAAATCTTTTATAGTTTTGACTGGATATATAAAATCATTTAGTGTGAAATGGCTCTACAATTCTTTATCTCATTTCTCTGTAGTTTTCCATATTTTAATCCCATAGACTGTAATCTATCTCCCTGTCCCAGCTGAGAAGTAGTTAACACTGATGATTTGTCATTTGAGTTACTGTATTTGAGTTGCTGGTGTGGCTCTGGGTCTTTTTCAAGCCCTAGCTTACTGAAAGAACGGATGAAAATGATTCACAGAGCTTCCTTCTCATTCTCTTGTATCTGCTATAATATTTAGCTTCTCTTCTTAGAATTACTATTTTTTAGAAATATGTCTTCATCAGGAAAGGCAAAAACCTAGAATTCATGTTGCCATTTTTTCTTCCTTCTCTCCCTCATCTAGAGCAGACAGTGATGCTCCATCCTGACACCAAATGGTGCTTTGACATTTTTTTTCTACTGGTAATCAACAAGACCTGATCAAAAGATGAAAATTCTTTTCAAATAAGTTTAATTATACGGTACTGTTCTATTTATAGTATTAAAGTTTTTTTTTTTGAGACGGAGTCTCGCTCTGTCGCCCAGGCTGGAGTGCGGTGGCACGATCTCCACTCACTGCAAGCTCCGCCTCCCGAGTTCACGCCATTCTCCTGCCTCAGCCTCCCGTGTAGCTGGGACTACAGGCACCCGCCACCGTGCCCGGCCAATTTTTGTATTTTTAGTAGAGACGGGGTTTCACCGTGTTAGTCAGGAGGGTCTCGATCTCCTGACCTCGTGATCCGCCCGTCTTGGCCTCCCAAAGTGCTGGGATCACAGGCGTGAGCCACCGCACCCGGCCTAGGATCATTTTTTAGTATTACGGAATAATCAACCTTACTCCTTTCCTAATGAACTAACATACAGAACTGCAGTAAGAAGAATATTCAGACACAACAATTGCTTTCATTACCATCATCTTCTTCCAAGGCATCTGGGTGAGAAACAAAGATGGGTTCTGATGGGTATGAATCAGGCTCTTGCCAAACCCAAGTTTCTTTAGTTTTGACATTCAGCTTACAGAGCTGTTTGTGAGAAAGAAAAAATCAATCAAGCAATCAGTCAATATGCTCTACTTGACTAGCATATACTCAAAGCACTGTCTAAATATTAGTAAGAAGGATTAATTACCCTATCTGGAACAAAGTGATTCAAGCCAAGTCCATATGCGTATGTGTAAGGTTTCCCACAATACTTCTGGTAATTGATTTGAGGAAACTCAAACGCTACGAAATAGAGCACATGCATAGGAAAACTCTTAATATCTCTGAAGGAAACATTTGCTCACTCCCGTGTGAGGTTTCCTCTAGATCATCTCACCTTGGCGAGGCCCTGAAAAGAGAACCTCAGGCTCCAGCCAGATTGTCTCGTCACTGCACAGAATTGCAGTGGCAGTTGTATTGGGGAGCGTGATTAAATTCTTGCCTGTGTCAGCCTAGGAGAGAAGACAACAGAAACCTCAGTGAGCAGGAAAGAATTCAAACAGCCAGAAACGCAGACTTCCTAAGCCTTGGCTCCTGAGTTCTTTTTTAGGTCAACGTGCAGGGAGGAACTGCAGGAAGCTATAGATGAGGGACCCTGGGATGTGACTGGGAAAGCTATCTGTGCCTGTGTCAGTCACTGGCTATGTATCACTGGGAAAGTCACATAACCTCTTAGGCCATCAATTTCTCTTCTGTAAAATGAGACCATCCTTGAAGAAAATTTAGGGCTCCAAAGAAAGGCCTCTGCAAAACAAAAAAACAAAAACCAAACAAAAATCTCAAAAAAGATAATAATAATAGTTAATGTTTTTCTGCAGAACAACGAAGACTTCAACTGCCTGAGTGATGAAAGAATGTATATCTCTTTCACACTTAGAATATATTTTGATTTTGCTTGAAAAAAAAAATCCTTACAGTTATGTTGACAAAAAGAAAAAAAAAAACCCACTGGACCATATGTTTACTAGGATCTCTTGTCACATACACATGATTTTTCTGATTGTTTTATAAAAACAATGGACACTATGAGATTTTTCTAAGCACATATTTACTTATTAATAATCTCATCAAATACTTGACTAGATATTTTGTTCTAGACTCTATTCTTGGCATTCGGGATATTTTGGAGAGTGAAGTCCCTGTCCTCTTGAAGCCTACATTCTAGTTCAAGGAGATATACAATAAACGTAATTAATAAATTTTATAACATACCACAAATGTGGGGAGAAAAAATAGAATAGAGGAAAGGAGATCAGAAATGTGAAGAGTAAGTGGGTTAAAATTTGAATAGATGGTTAGGGTAGGTCTCTGAACAGGTGGCAGTGGAGACAAGACTCTTAGAAGATGAGAAATTTAGCAATGCACATATCTGGGGAAGAGCATTCAAGCTGAGAGAACAAATTGTGTGAAGGCCTGAGGGAGGAGGATGCTGAGTTTGTTTGAGGAGCATCAGAGAGTCCAGTGTGGATCCTATCGACTGGGCAAGGGAGTAAGAAAGGAAGGTGTAGAGGTCATGAGCCAGGCTATACAAAGCCTTGTAGGTAATTATGAGGACTTGATCTTTCTCTGTGAGTGAGTGATGGGAAGCCATTGGAGGGTTTCCAGCACAGGAGTGAGATGCTATGATTTATTTTTAGGGTAGACTTGTTAGTAGGGAGGATCCAAGAGTGGAATCAGGGAAACCAGTTTGTCTTGTAGTAATCTAGTTGAAAGAAAACAATGGTTCACACTAGGCTAGTAGCATTGCAGTTAGTGAGAAGTGGAAGAAGGAGAGGACAGAGTCAAGAAGATTTCCTGTTAAATAAGATATGGGATGAGGAAGAGGCATGAAAGTAAGAGAGGCATCAAGCATGACACCAAGGTGTTTGACCTGAACAAAGCAAGATTGATGTCACAACAAAGATAGGAACTACAGGTAGAGTAAATTTTTGGTGGGGGAAGATGAGAAGTTCAGGTCTTGTCTTATTAGACTTGAGATGTCTATTGAACATCCAAATGCAGATGTGGAGCTGGCACTAGCAGGTACGAACCTTGAGTTTAAGAAAAAGCTAAAAATGTAAATGCATAAGGCATGAATATTTAACAACAAGTGAGTGTAGAAATGGAAGATAGGAGAACCAAGGCCTTCCAACAAGATGAGGAATGAGAAGGTAGCTGGTTGGGGCAAAAATGTCAAGAGAAGGATTTTGTAAGAGCCTGATAAAACTGATCCATTGAAAAGGGTAGGAGAGTGGTGATCTAGGAAAGACGGGGAGAATTGGGAGAGTGATTTCCCTGAGAGGGTGAAGGAGGATGAAAGAGATCAACTCTGGATAGGAAGATGGATAACTCAGTGTATGAGTACAGCTGCTGGTGGGTGGGTAGACATGGTGGCAAGTCTATGGTTCCTTTCTGATTTCTTTCATTTGTTTCAGAGAAAAAGGAAACATAGTCATCAGCTGCATCTGAGTGTGGAGGCGGGAAGTGGGAGATGGTAAAAGTTTAAAGAGAGAAGGGTGTGGAATATTTAACTAGCAAAGTGAGAGAGTAGGTGAAGCAGGGAAATGTAGCAGAAAGATTTGTGGTCATGCATCTAAAATTGGACCAATTAACATGATTGTGCCTTGTCTGCACTTAGTTCGGCCTCAGAGGTGTAAGTATGGAGGGGGTGGAGAGTTGAATTTAACTAGAGTTGTGGTTTTGACAAGTGACTTTGATAAAGTAAGAAAAAGGCAAGGGAAACGAAGGTCTATATGAGAAAGTGATTGTAATTGTTGACCATAAAGCTTAAATTGAGTGAGGAGAGAAGGTAAATCCTCAACGGAGTGAGAGAGAGTGAGAAAGTACTGTGTTCAATGGATTGGAAGTTCCTGGTGGAAATTGCAGTAGGGCAAGTGATGTTGAAAGATAAAGGGTCAGAGTGTGTCATGCTTGCAACTGAGATTATGGAAGGAGTATAGTCTTAAGTACTGGCAAAGTCGAGGGTACGAGGGATATATATATATATATACACACACACACATACATCACTTGGCTATATGATTAGATAAAATGAGATGAAAACTTGGGGAATTTTAAGGATGAATAGAGGGAACAATGATCTGAAAACAGCAAAGAGGAAGGACACCTACCCCAACTCCAGGCTAAGTGGTAAAAGGGCTGTACCTTGTGCAGAAGAGAAACTGCTTCCCCTGGAAATTACTGTTGGGGAGACTGGTGTCCTTAGGGGAGAGAGCCAGATTTTGGTTAAAAAAAGAAGGTGAAAGGAACATTCTAAGAAGAGAATACAGGAGATTTTTCTGGTGGTGGACTAAGAATTAAAAGTAAACAGTGGAAGATTTTCAGAATAGGGAAAGGATAGGAGGTGGGAGCCAATAGAGGAGAAGATTCTGCAAGATTTTGTGAAATAAGGGACTCGAGGTACTTAGTGATGATGCTGGGAAGAAGCGAGGGGTGTGCACATGTATGCATATTTATGTACATGCATACAGTAAGTACAAATGTCTATGTCTCTGTTTAATATATTATTTATGTGGTTTCAAGTTGAATTTTTTTACTTTGTTCTATTTTGCTTATTTTTCTTGTTAAATTAGATTTCCTGTTTGTTTGTTTGTTTCTTGAGACGGGGTCTTGTTCTGTTTTGTTTGTTTGTTTCTTGAGACAGGGTCTTGTTCTGTTCCCCAGGCTGGACTGCAATGGCATGCAGCTCACTGTAACTTTGAACTCCTGGACTCAAGCAATCCTCCTGCCTCAGCCTTCTAAGTAGCTGGGACATAAGACCTTTCTATTTTTCTCTTCATTGCCAAACTTTTAAAAATGTACATTCAGTAACTGCTTCCAGATACTCAACTGCTTACCTTAAGAGCCCTGAAACCTGACTTCTGTCTTTCTCACTCTATTCCCTTAGAGATCACCAAACCTAATGCTTCATTCTTAGTCTTCAGCCTTTTCAACTTATCTGTAGCAGTGAGCACCGTATAACCCTCACCTGCCCTCATCTTTGTAACATTACTCTCTCTTAGTGGGAACTAGGGCCTTCTGGTGGCTCTTGTTTCTTTTTCTGGCTTCTCTTGTTTCTACCATTTTCTACACGTGGGTATTTTCTGGAGCTACTGTGCTTGGCTATCTTCTCTCTCAGTATTCTCTGGCTTTCAAATTCCTTATTTTTTAAATAAGCAAATTTTAAATGTTTCTTTTGAAAAACCTATTCTAAAGTATGATTCCTCCCCCCCCCCCCCGCTAGCAGTCTCATCTCTCTATTCTTATATATTTTATTATCATTTCAATACCAATAGTTAAAGGCTTTTCTTTTGTTTAAAAACCTTCACTGTCTCCCCATTACCAGTTCAATAAAGTGCAAATTTCTTAGCCTGGCCTTAAAGCCTTCTAAGATTACAATGTACTTTTATAACTTTTTATCCCATTTACTCTAGTACTTTTGCCTATGTTCCCACCAATTATAATAGCCAATTCTCTCTGCGTGTGTCCCTCTCCACTTCTCTGTCTGTCCTCAAACCGTTCTTTCTGTCTTCAGTTGTTTTGCCTCAATCCCATCTCCACCTGCCATATTACTGCCCATTGCAAGTAACTATGTTCCATGAATCTCCCCTGCACTATCATCTGACTAGCTATTAATACATTGATTTATCCCTCCTGAGAGTACTACCCCTGTGCTGACACGCATGGCTATTCCCGATTCGCCTTCTTTCTCTCTGATACACTAGGTAATGGGCTCCATGAGAACCAGAAGTGTGTTCTTTTATGTATCCACTGAAACAAAGAGTGTGATGCCTGTTGTAGTGGCTACTCAATAACTATTAGAAGAAAGAGGAGACAGATTAAACGATGTTAGACATTTGTTATCATTACTACAGCTCCCTATTCTGTAATTGGGTAATATTTCTTCAGGCAATGATAACCATACAGTTAGAAAAATCCTTCCTTTTTCTTTATTTTGAAATGTGAATATTTAAGTTAAGTGATCCTCTTTTATTTCCTTAATTTAAAGATGATTGTGATTTTTACCATTACTAACAAAATAAGAGTTTACTGAAAAACTGACTTATTCATTTGGCGAGTATTTTGGGGACACTCAACTACATGTCAGTGATATGCTTCCTAAGGGAAAAGCAAAAATCCTTAAGGTACCCAGACTGATCTCTCTCCATGACCTTTCTTTGGAGCTCCAGATCCATGTATAGCAGCTGCCTATGGAATGCTTTGCTAAGATGGCTAGTGGGTACTTTCAAATTAACATCTGTAAAGTAAAATGTACTCTTTTTTTCTACAAGCTAGCTCCTCTTACTTCTATTTATTTATTTGAGATGGAGTTTCGCTTTTGTTGCCCAGGCTGGAGTGCAATGGCATGATATCAGCTCACCGCAACCTCTGCCTCCTGGGTTCAAGTGATTCTCTTGCCTCAGCCTCCTGAGTAGCTGGGATTATAGGCATGCACCACCATGACCAGCTAATTTTGTACTTTTAGTAAAGATGAGGTTTCTCCATGTTGATAAGACTGGTCTTGTACTCCCAACCTCAGGTGATCCACCCGCCTCGGCCTCCCGAAGTGCTGGGATTACAGGCGTGAGCCACCGCGCCTGGCCCGGCTCCTCTTACTTCTGTGTTTTCAGTTCAGTGAATTATACCATCATTCACTCTACTGCTCAGGGTGGAAATCTTGAAGGCATCCTGAACTCCTTCCTCTCTTACCCCTCACATGTAATTAGACACCAACTGCTGTTGATTTTGCTGCCTAAATATTTCTCAGCTTTGCATCTTCATCTCTCAGTCACCATTTTCTTAACTCAGATACTTATTCCCTTTTATTTGCCTCATTGCATTAATCCTGTAATAGGGCTTCTAGCCTCTACTCTAGACTCCTCACTTTCCAGTCTGTCGTCTGTGATGCCGCCTGAGTAAACTTTCTGAATCACAGATCTAATCATGTCCTAAAATACACTTAAAATACACACTTAAAATATTTAAATGGCTCCATTTATTTATACAACACTCAAAGGCTTATGTAGCCCATTGCAATATTGCTCCAACCTATCTTTCCAGTCTCTCTGCCCAATACCCATCTCCCCTACACCCCTAAATAAACCAACCTCAGCAACTACTTTATATTTATAGATGAAATCTTGCATGTTTAACTCCTTCTTGCCTTTATAGAAGCCCTTTTGCCTGTCTGTAACACTCAACCTCAATCTCCTCCCTCTTTCTCATTCTTCACAGAGCTTACAAACTTGCTTAAGAGCAGTGGTGTTTGGTTCTAAATTGAGTTTATTTTCTACAACACCATACCTAAGCCTTTGGTACGAAGTTTTACATTCCATGTAGCTGTTTCAATAACCCCTTTTGTGCAACCAGGGAGCAAATAGATGTAAAAGAAAGCATATATTCACATATCTATATGTTAGAATTATATTTTATTGATTTTTACTGGTATTTCCATCACACTACAAATTCTAGATGTTACTCTGGTTATTCTAAAAAGATAGTCTCTAAATACAGGGAAGAAAAAAGTAGAAATAAAGAGATGATTGTCTATTGTTAGTAATGATTTTTAACCTCTAGCATTATTTTTCAGAAGATTTATAGAAAACCAAAACAATGAACTGATTTCCCTACGAGGGTACTTTTTGATGCTTCATCTCAAAATTATTTAAAGTATTTATATTATTGATAAAGTATCATAGGAATCAGTGGATCTGCACTATTCACCGAGGAAGTATATTTTAAAGACAATTTTGTTGATACAAGAACAGCAGATTTAGAATCAAAAAACCTGGTTCTTATCCTGGCTCTGCTGTAGTTGCTTTTGCTAAGTCACATTACTCTTCGGAGCTTTAGTTTCATTTGTAAAATGAAGGAAGTTTAATTATTTTTAAAGCTCCTTCTAGCTCTCAAATTTCAAGACTTTATGTATAAACATGAGGCAGGAGGACAATTCCTGAGAGAGATGAAACATTCTGGTTAAATTTGAAATCTGTGGAGAAGCAGGTTACCTTGTCAATATTCAAAGGAAGTACATATCTCCTAACTTCAGGTTGGGGAGCCTTTCTGGCATTTTTTTTCACCTCTTCCCAGTTCTCACGTAAATTGGCTAAATATAAGTAATTATAAACAAACTCAAATCTGCAAAAATAAAAAGTCAAACATGAGCACAGGCAATTACAAATAATTTTAGAGAGATGATTCATGCCTTTTTAAGCACAAGTGCCTGCCTGTTCTTTATTCTACAACCCAGAAACTGCTATTGAGCCAGGTGTATTAGATCATTTCCTCCTGCCCACACTGGATGAAAATAAAGAAACCGGCTTAATGGATTTGTTTAAGTAACAGCAGCTTTGAGATATTTTCCGTTCTGCTTTCCTGTCACCATTCTGTTTGTGTCTTTAGGGGCTCTTGTCTTTTTAGTGACTTGGCTAGTCTGAGAAACGCAAGCCTTTTTCTCCCTTCTCAGAGAGGATGGGGCTCAAGTTTCCCCAGTGATTTTGTCAAGTTTAAGTTCACCTCTGAGGTCACAGAATCTTTTGTTTTCAGGTGGGGTTCGTGGACCCAATTAGTTTTCAATCATTAACCACAGCTTTGATGTTCAGATTACCTAAAGTCCCTGCTACTTTCTCAATTACATTTTTGACTCTCGCATACCTCTTGCTATTTTAGATGTGATTCCGATTGAGAGCAGCATCCCCATAAAAGCCCCTAATTTCCAGGAACAATGGGAGATGTCGCATTTATCCAGTATCCTTTCTTACCCTTTCCAGCAGCAGAGATCCACAATCAGAAACCCATTGTCTTCATAGGTGTTGATGTGATGAAAGAGGTTGAAAGGAGAAGTCCTGTATTTATTATTGAGGTACTTTTTCCTTTTTTTGTCAGCAATATGAAGCCAAACCTTGAAAAATGAGGAAAATATTTTGATGCATTTAGAAAGGAAAAAAGTGTACATTATTAAACACACCTTCTTCAGAATCACAAGCTCAACAAATATATCTAAGACTTACCCCCATGGTTTCATTGGACTCAAAGCAATCCATGTAGTTGGCTCCCCAAAGACTCCATGAAGAAAGGAACTTGAACAGGTTAATTTTGACTGGTGTCTCCACAAAAACGATATAGTTGGGAGTCAGACCAAAACTGTTCAGAAACACAAATGGGCTTGTGAATGAAAGGGCTGATTCTCAAGTCACAAACAAATTTGTATACATGCGGTATGCTCAGTTACAAGAATCAACAGTGCCTACATGAAATTAATTATGTTTAAATTTAGTTTTCTGAAAAAAAAATTGTGATCAGGATTGATATCAAAGGTAGGCAAAGCAAATCTTTAAACTTGAGTTTTCCTGAAGATTCATAGCAGGCCTTCAAGTTACCTATGAACGTAAGATGGCTTGAATCGGTCACTGCAGGGGAATTGTACAACGATCTCTGACTTGCTTATTGGATCTTCCTTGTCTGAAATAAAGTGGTTTTAAAAGGCTTTGGAACAGCCTCTTATTTTTTTTTAGTACAAAGCATTTAGAACAGCTTATACAGGCAAAGAAACACATTTTGATTGTTTTAGAGAGGTTATTTTCATTTTCTCCATCATTTGCACTTCTTAGTGAAATTTCATGTGACGCTGCAAAATCACCCAGGAAAATCCAAATAGCAGCAGATTTGGAAACGTGCATTCAAATAGGGTGTGGCAAGCGGAGTATAGTGGAGTCACATCTTGTAATAGCTGGAGGTGGGTTTTAAGTCAGGGGAGTAGGGAAAAAACCTCAGAATGGGCAAAATGCCTTTTGCAACATCTTAAGATGCCCAAAAGATATAGTTTAGATGGGTTTGTGTCAATAGCCCTGTGCAGTAATTCTTAACACACATTAAAATTTACTCACTAGTAAGTGAATGTCCTCAAACTTTAGTGTGCATCAGAATCACATAAAGAGCTTCTTAAAATACTGATTGCAGGCTCCACTCCCCCAATTTCTCATTCAATCTGCCCTGGACAGGGCTCAAGATTTGTATTTCTAACGGTTTCCTAGGTGATGGTCTTGGTCCGAGAACTATACTTTAAGAACTGTACTAAATAATACTAAACAAAAATCTGTATACATTCAAGTAATTCCATCATCAAGGTGGTGAACAATGAACCTGGCAATAAATGGAAAATGAATGGAGAATTCTTGGGTACACTCCTTTTTGCTGTAGTTTTTTTTCTATAGTATTTATATGAGTTAATAGATTTGTTTGTAGTTTTGGGAAGTAAGCACAACATACTTAGTACACTCTCATATGTGTATGTATGCTATTATGCACACATACATGCTTATTTAATTTAGTTTTGCCTAGCACATGGATAAGTGCTCAATAAATGTTTGCTAAGTATGAATCCAAATTGTATATGATCAAATCCATATATATATATATTATGTGTGTATATATATGTATATATACACACTACATTTTTAAACTCTAGAAGAGAACTTGGACACTTGCTTTCTATATTTTCAAGTTGTCATCCTTTGATATGATGCCCTTGGGCATTAGGACCCTTAGAGGGTAGGGGTGAGGGCAATATTTCTGAAATCTGAGAGTAATTTAAGTATGCACAAAATGCTATTCTGATATTCTGATCTTTCTCACAACACAGTAACCTTCTCACAATACAGATACTTGTTTTCAGAAGAGGACAGATTGGTAAACTCACCTGCTTGCAGTGGTGGGATCTTTACAATGTTGTAGGCAATTGAAAAATTTTTTCCAAAGCAATTACCAATATTGTAAACGGTTCCATCATTTTCAATGTGGGGGTGAGCAGTGGCTCCATTGACGGAGACGTAGTTGCAAAGATCAACCTACGGAAGTAAAGTGAATGTCCTCCCGTTGAGAGAAGGAAGATACATTATACCTTTGTCCCTAGGTCTGAGGTCACCACTACCCCTTGAACTCTCACCCTAAGTGCACTTTCTCTTTCTTCTCATCTCTCTGGATTCTACCCTCTTTCACCTTGAGTTCCCACCTTCATGCAGAACACACTGCCCCTCATATGTCTGAATCTGGAGTTACCTGTGACATCTCTTTATCTGATGTGTACTATACAAGGCTCTGGTTAGTTACTTTTAGTATATGCAGATTGACCTCAAGCCATAAGTTTGAGTCTTCAGACTTTTTTATACACTTATTATTGTATTAGATTTAATTGTATAAAATTGCTAATATCCAAAAATTGTTGATTTCAAAAAATGGCAATTTTGTATGATACTGTGTAAATACCAACTATGTGTCTTGCACGCAGTACTATATGAGTTTGGAACTGAAAGGGACTTCAAGCTTCATGTAGTATAGAAAGTCTTAATTTAAATAGACTTTAGGAGAACCATGGATCTCTTTTAATTAAATATAAACATTTCAGGCAAAACATTCAGCATTTAATTCAATTTTATGTCTCATAAGAAGTTTAGAACTGCAAATGTAACACAAATCTCTGTTTGCAGAAGGATAAATTGAGGTCTCAGAGAGCTCAAGTGTCTTGTTTAAGGATAAAGAGCTAGATAAATCAGCACTAGATTTCTACCTGGGACCTACTTGGTAAAGATTTATTGAATGAATAATTAATGGAATATATATTTATAAATTATTTCCAATTAATTTGGGGGATTTTTTAAAAGCATAGGACATTTTAGCACACTTATTTAAATAATAAGCAAGATACTCATTTATTCAATCAATCATTTATCAAATGCTCTGGGCTTTCACTATGTGCCAGGTACTGTACTGTACCAGGGCCCAGGAAAGAGAAGATCTTTGCTTTCAAGAACTTCATTCTAGACCCGTGCTGTTCTATTAATATAGTGACCACTAATTTTTAGATAGAACTTCAAATTCAGCTCCTCAGTCACATTAGCTACATCTCAAGTGCTTAATAACACCGGGATAGCACAGTTATAGAGCATTTCCATTATTGCAGAAAGTTCTATTGGCAGCACTGCATTAGACCAATAAGCTGGCATAAAGCACTGCGAGTGTGCAATGGCGTCATAGAGAAGCACCATCTAGTCCAGACCGAGGGATTAGGCAGTTTTCCTGAGAAACATGACTCCAACCAATGTTTGAAAGGTGAGTAGAGTTAGCCAAGTGGAGCAAGATGACAGTGTGTTCCAGGGAGTGGGAATCCTAATGTAAATGCCTACCGTAAATGCATAGACTTGTGAAATAATGTGTGCTGTTTGGCAATTACCAGTCATTTAACCTGCTACCATGAAGAGCACGCATAGAGGAGGGGAAATAAGAGTGGGCCAGACACAAAGACCTTCACTTGGACTTTATTTGGGAAGTTAATGGATTCCCTAGGTGGAGTAATAATTTCATATTTACATTTTAAAATTTCCTACTGCTGCCTTAAATAAATTGTATTTAAGGGAATCAGTCTGGAGGCAAAGGCACTGGTTAATAACGGTAAACAATAAAAAATTTCACATTTTTAAAATTACCTTTTACACTGCTAGTAACAATGGAACCTGACCCCTTCCTAATAAAGTCTACTCTGGAGCCATACCATAGCTTCTATATTTCTAATTAAAATACCATGTAATTGTAATACAGATTCCCTGTTAAAGTCAAAGGAATGACTTAGAAACTCAGCTTTTGTTCTTCTCTAAAGGAGCTACACTCACACTTGTGCATGGTTGCACACACAGCATAAACAAGAAAGGGCTATGGGGAGTATATGTTAAGACGCAGTAAATAGTCTGTTGAGAATTATAGATCAACTTGTGCTATTGAGACTCAATATTGAGACTATTTTTTTTCTTCTTATTTTTACCAGTACTGCGTTTGTGGTTCTGGCCTTCAATTTTACCTCTTGGTCTCCCAGCTATACTGTATCTCTTTTACCTTCCCATATAGCTCACACATGGCTCCCCAAATAAACATCTTAAAGTATAGCCCTACTCATATTACTTCTTTGAGCAAAAACTTTCAGTAGCTTCCCATTAGCTAAACAACATATTCCAAATGTTTAGCCAATTATTCAAGCTTTTAGTTTCATCCTACCCTGTGTCTCGCTATTCCTCTGACATTAACTACTCTAGGCAACCAGTTCTCCACTGGGAGTGTTATTGCCTGCTAGGGGAAGATATGGAAATGTCAGGAGCATTTTGGGTTGGTACAATGTTTGAAAACATGACTGGTGTTTGGTGGATGAGGCCAGGGATGCCAAACCTCTCCCATGTGTGGGGACGTCCCCATAATGATGAGTCACCCCCTGTCTAATGTCATACTAGTACCTCCACTGAGAAATGCTGCAAGTCTAGTCAAAGGACATTGTTCTCCAGTTTTCATGAACACCTTCTACCTCTATGCCTTTGATCGCCTTACCCCCTCCGTCTAGCATATCCTTCCTCTAAATTCCCTGAAGTCATACCTCTCGTTCAACTTCCAGCCCAAAACCTTTCCCTTTAAACCTTCTTTCACCTGTCCCACCTTGCATTGCCAACTATTTCCAGAAGTTATTCCTTTAGTATTTGTGCTTTCTTAAAAGATTTTCCTTCTTAAAAGACTCATCATATTCTTTGTCCTATTACAGTTATATATTTGATAAGCCATTAAGTCACCTGATGACAAGAACAATGCCTTGTAAATAGGTGTATCTTAATAAATATTGGTTCAAAATGTGTATCTAAAGACTGCTGCATTGAGATTCCCTAAGTTCTCAGTAAAATTTGTCACTTCCTAATATTGCTGAAATTTTTTCTATGCTATTTCATTCAAGATATAGCTTTATTTCTCATAAGAAGTATCTATAAGAAGGGGCAAATTAGTGCAACATACTTGCCTAGAACCATAAATAGCATGATTTTCAGTATCAGTAGCTATAATTTCTTGAGCACCCAGTATTTACCAGGTTCATGCTACCTTATAAAAGCTATGAAAGACAGGGACCATGTTATCCTACTCATTGATCTATCCCTTGCATCTAGCATAAATTCTGAATATGGAAAGCACTCAATAAATATTTATGTCATGAATGAATGAATGAATATATTAGGCATTTTATATGGGTTTTCTCCAATCCATGTAAGTGTTTAAAAATTTATAGATGAAGAAACGATGTTTGTCCTATGTCAAATAGCTAGTCATTGTTGACAACGCTAGGATTTGAAACTTAATCTGGCTCTCATGCTCTTTTCACCAAATTGCACCAATTGCAGGAAAGCATCATAGACAGAGGCAATCAGTGCAGTCCATTTGGAGCTCAGAATGGTCATTTTGTGTGTCCTTATCAAGTCAGAATCAAACATTCACAGCATGAATAATTTATGTTGATTTAGTTTTAAGTTCCAAATTCTAAATTCTCGAACATCACCTAGCACTGTGTCCTACCTGCTTAATTGTCTCCAAGGTCTCTGGATTAATCTTTGTAATAAAGTTGGTCTCTGTGCAAGCGTAGTAGTCTTCCCCCACTGGGTAGACATTAACAAGGGCATTGTCGGTAACCTCCACTCCTCGAAAGTAAGAAAAAAACCTGTAGAAGCAAATGAATTTTTCAGTCCAGTAATTGTCAAGCCATGAGAGAAAAAGGGCTAATGTAAAATGTCTTGAGTAACATTCAGTTTGGGTTCAGTAACCTGGAAAATATATTCTTGCAGGGATCTGGGAAAGCACAGGTGCCAAATTCTGTTATGACGATCCTTTTCTCAGTCATGGCCCGTACGTAAGCATCAGTGCGGATGAACCTGAAGGACATTGAAACATAAGGAAGGGTATAGACAGGAGCAATCCGTACAGCCCATGTGGAGCTTAGAATGACCATTCTATGTGTCCTCATCAAGTCACAATCATAAATGCACAACATGAAGAATAAAGGGTTTTATTAGCTCACTTTCTTGGGGTGACCAAGCAGGGCAGACACTATGTCCCACGAGTTTACATTTCTGTCTTCTAAACCACACAGATGAGGAAATTGAGGTTCAGAGGAGTTAAGTGGTTGGCATATGTAGCCAAGCTGGTTTAGAATCCTAGTTAGTCAGAGCTGGACAGCATGAACTTTCTGTATCACGCCATGCAGCCCTGGGGGAAGTTCACATAGGACCCCCTACCCCCATCACCTACAACCTGTCAACCTAAACTTACTAGGGAAATTCCAGACATGGTGTGCTGAATTATATTCTTCTCAATCTCTCTCTGTCTCTTTTATGTTTTTCTTCAATTTTAACATTTATTTTGTTTTAAAAATTAAGTGTTTTTGAATTCTATCTCTTGCCCAGACAGGTCTTAGAGTAGATAGCATACCTTGTCCAGGATTTCTCATGTGGACAGCTAGTTAAAATCTGATTTTGTACTTTTATTTATTTATTTGAGACAGAGTCTTACTCTGTCACCCAGGCTGGAGTGCCGTGGCGCAACCTCTGCTCACTGCAACCTCTGCCTCCTGGGTTCAAGCTATTCTCTTGCCTCAGCCTCCCAGGTAGCTGGGACTACAGGCATGCACCATCACGCCTGGCTAATTTTTCTGTATTTGTAGTAGAGACAGGGTTTCACCATGCTAGCCAGGCTGGTCTTGAACTCCTGACCTGAAGTGATCCAGCTGCCTCGGCCTCCCAAAGTCCTGGGATTACAGATGTGAGCCAACACGCCCAGTCACACTTTTATGAAGAAGAAAGAGTGCCCTGGTCTGTCGAAGGTATATGAAGCTTTATCTGAACTCCACACTAAGCTCTCCTGGCTACATTTCTGCTTGGCATCATCTGTTTCTCTTCTATTATCACACAACTTGTCCTGTTTCAAGTCCCCTTTCACTGTTTCTTTATAGGTCTTGTCAAAATGCCTGAAATCTGTGGTGATCAACAAAGCCACTAATAGGCTTGAACGTGAAAGCAGAAGACAAAGTATTTGTTAATACTTCGTTAACAGGGGTTTCCTGGAATGACGATTTAGAGCTTCAATAATCTCTTGTTTTCAGAAAACTTCTCTTTCTGGTATCATTGTGACATGCTTTGTCCTTCACTACTTCGTGGCAGCCTCCCACCTCCTTACCAGTGGCCTTTCCAATTTTATAAAAAGAAAAAGGAATCAAGATGGCCAATGGTTTAATAATAATAACAAGCATCACAATAGCTATTATTATGAAGTACTTTGTGTGTGCTAGACACTGTGCTCTCATTTAATGCTTGTAATGAACGTATGAGGTAGATTCTATTATTTCTCCCATTTTACTAATTATAAAACCAAGAATTGGAGGTCAACATCTTGCCAAAGGTTACCCCAGGCAAGTCATGTCTGTTGAATACAGGGTATAAAGTCATGCATGTTGGACCCCAAAGCCCTAGGCTTTAGCTTCTCCTTTATTCCATGATAGTGTTCCCTCATGTCCATGCAGACACACTGGCCCAGGTACATTCTGAGAAAGTGCGTATATAGGTTGCCTCCTGGGTCCAGAGGTTAAAACTCACATGGGAGGAGGAGCTGAGCTAGGCCCTACTTAGGGGAAGAGGAGGGGCACGGAGTGCTGCTTTACCTTCTGTGGTATGTGACGTGTCCTTCTTTAAAGTCAAACTTGTGCAGAAGGGCTTGCCCATCAAACAGGTGGTAAAATGGCTCAGATCCAACTTCAAAGAGTCCTGGCCCACATCGAAGGAGACTGCCGGTGAGCCACAGGGGGATCCTGCCTATGATGAGGGGAGACAGAATGTTGCTTCTTATCCCTGCCTTGGGCTGGGCTTGTCCTTGGTAAGGCAGAGTGTATCAGCAGCCTGATTGGGCAGCTTCTTCCTCATAGAGCTGGCAGTGATTTTCATTCCCAGCCCTCACGCTGGACAGCACCGAGAAAATGTCTGCTGACTTGACTCTCCTTCACTAGGAGACCACACTGTGGGAAATGTGTAGACGCCCCAGAGTGTGGATAAAGGGTTAGAAGGAGTGAGGGAGAAGCATCTTGAAAGGACAGGGACTCTCCACCTAGATCTCCCCAAACACCAATCCATTTGCCTTTTGCCATCTCATTTTGAAGAAGATTTTCAAATTTCTTGATATATTTTAGTAGAGTGAGGAGTAGAAGGATGGATTAAGAACGGGAATAAATATATTTTAAAAAGATGTGTCTATAGAAAAAAAAACTTTTTAAATGAATAAACAGGAATCCTGGCTCTTTAAAATCTAGAGCTATGTCCCTCTGTGAGTGTGAGCTACTGCCTGGATGAAAGTCAATCTGCTGTAGCAGGAAGTCCACAGGGTTGGATGTCAGGGACCTGACTTCTGGTTTAGGATCAGCTCACATGTCATCTCTGGACCTTAGTGTCCTCATCTGCAAAATGTGGGGTACCCAAGAGAGTCCTTAAGGCCTCTCAGCTTTCACAGTTAGGTTTGTCCCTAAAAACCCAGGTAGATTTATCCTTTGAGAAGGGCAGTGCTTGGCAGTGTTTCCTTGATTCTTACCAGTGAATTTTTTCAAGCAAATGGATTATTTCCTATAGCTAATAATGATACTGATAGTAATAATTACTGTCTATTGATCACTTTGTGTTGGATATTGCGTGAATCATTCTATTTATATTACTTTACTTAATTTTCACAAAATCCTCATGAGGTAAATTTTGGGCTTTTGTAGATAAGGGAATTGAGGCTCAGAAGGTTGCAGTAACTTAGAGGATTCACAGACAGTGAAATGATAGAGCTAGGTTAGCATCTACATCTGCCTCCCAGCAGAACCAACATTCCTCTAATAAGATGGGCATGAAACCCACCACCCTTTCACATTCCCAGGTGCTTGTCACTGGACCTTCATTTATTCAGACACCTATGGAATAGACATTTATAGGACATTTACTATGTGTCAGGCACTGAACTAGGCACTGACAGTTTGAAGATGACAAAGGTGTAATCCTGATCCTTACGGAATTCCAATTAGGTAGCGTTTTTCTACATTAGAGAAATAAAGTAAAGGCAAATGAAAGAAAATGGGTTCTTGCTATAAAAAGCCCAAACCACCTGATCTCTCTCCCTGTGACCCACAGGGGGAGTCTGCACTGAGAGATGCCAAGGAATAGGAAGCCAGAGAAGAGAGACTTTGACATAAAAGAGGATGGTTTCAAGATGGGTGAGACCAACCTGTTACATGAGCTGTGAGCGGCGAGGACAGTTCCTCCACAGTTTCAAACAGTTTCTTGTAACCACCAGCAGGATGCTCGACCCTGAAATAGTGGAAGAATAAGGGAGAAGCCCATGTTGACGCTCAAAGTCCGCAGAGATAGAAGCAGAGCTGCAGGAGACAAGGCACTCTAGGGCTGGCTCAAAGCCTGTTCTCTCCTGCCAGTCTAGTTTCAGCCGGTTGGTGGAGGGGATGGAGGGGCAGGAGCCGGGGAAGGGGGGACGGGGGAGAGAGGAGCACATGAGGCTGGGGGTGGGGAAGACTACTCAGGTATGGAAGGGGGTCCCAGATCACTGCTCTGATGTCAAAAGAAATGATCTCTCTTTTAATGTCAATGGTCACAGTGAACTTAATCCTGTCCTCTGCAGTTTTTCCTTACTTTGGAAGACAAATCAATCAATCCTACTGCCATCACTTCACTTCCTAAAATTTGTTACTAAACAGGGTCCTTCCCACAGTATTCTCCCACCCTATCAACATGCTCAGCTCACTGCATCATTGATTTTTCTTGCCTCAAGGAGAGACTCATTTATCTCCTTCCTAGGGGTTGGGAGATGACAACTTTTTGGGTCAGGTACCTCATCTTTCATTATTCACTCATATTATACCATAATTTTTCCCCATGATCTCATTTTTCTACCAGTCCCCAAGACCTACAGTACGTTTTCATCATAGTCAGACCAGGAGATTCAGGTTCTTTATTTTTGTTTATTTTCTACCTCCTCTGTTCAGTTTCATTTTATAACTTAAAAGAGTGGAATCTGTGACCAGACTCAATTATAATAATTACCTTTTACTCAGCAATTACTATGTCCTACATACCATAAAAAGAACTTTGCATGGTATTAGCTCTTTTAAATCTCACAGTAACATAATGGAGTAAAAGCTATTGTGACATCTTTCTATATACGGGAAAAGCTAGACTTAAAAAGTTAGGTAATTTGTCCAAAGTCACATGCTAGGAAATGACTGGGCAAGAAGTGGAGCCCGAGTCTGTCTGAAATCCCCATACTCAAGACTGCTTCCAAACCCTGGGCTAAGTCACACAAATCCCCCATAATTTGGACCTGAATTCCAAAGGGTTGCTTTAATACATACGCAGGAAAAAATGTCGCCACCAAACTTTAAGGGTCTTTCCTAAACATATCATTAATCAATGCCTTCTCTTCAGGAGCTCTTGAAATAGCACATTTATCATGAATCCACTAAGGTGTTTTAAAAAAGTCTCCCAGAAATACTTACTGGATAGACATTTTCTTCCAGTTCAGGATCCAGAGTTCTGGCACCAACTGCAGAATGAAGAAGCAAGTTCCCAGCCAGGGGCCTTTTTATGCCTTCTAAATCCCCTAAAAGGAACTATGGCTTTAGGAGCCCTTTCCCACCCCTTCAGCTGAGGGAGGGGGAACAGAAGTTGCTTTCAGCTCTCAGATCCTCCTGATGCTTGAGCTTTATTTGGGCTTGCTGTTCCCATAACAGTTATTTGGCTGTTTTCCAGAGACCTCAATCCTTCCCAAGAAGAATGAGAACAGATTAGAAAGAAAGGACCCGGGTGGGAGTGGCCAGTGTCAGGCCTGAGCTGATCCCAGTCACCCCACTGGACCTTGGCACCATTCTCTGGGGCCCACCTCCCTGTAATGCCTCTGTGCCTTCATTCTCACCCTCATTCATTCACTCACCTATGTTTAAAAATATCTATAAACATACTATCTATGAACCAGACAGAGATGGATATTGTGCCTGTCCCTGTCTTCACAGATCTTATAACTCTGTAAGAGTTACAGGAAACAAACTATTCAACAACTTTTGATTAGTGCTGAGATTGGAGAAGTATAGAATGTTATGGAAGCACATTGTGCACCTCTAACCCTCTCTGGCCACCTTATTGATAGCATTCAGTACCAATATTCTTCCAACCAGGTTGAGGACTTTTGATTTGCTGAGAATGAAATTCCGCATATCTTTGCTTGTCACTAATGCCTGTCTGTTCTCTGCCTGAACTTATTGTCCATTGGTATATATTTGGCACTCAGAGAGTATACAGCACTAATTCATTCATATCTCCACACTCTTTCATTAAGTCTCAGTTGTTTGCCAGCGCAGACATGGTGCTGCCCAAAGAAGTCCTTGGAAAACAGGGAAGATATATACTATGCCAGCTGACAACCTTAATATTTTTTTGAGAAACTCATTAACAATTTTAAATTCAGTTAGTAGTTATGGCTACTTACCCTAGGGGTCTTCTTCAACAAAACTGTATAACAATTAATCCAAGTGCTTCCCAAGATACACAACAATACTTCATTTCCTTACAGTGAGGGCATAGGCATGTGATGGGTTCCACCCATTAGGGACAGTGGTAGAAGTCCTAGTGGTAGCACCTGGGGATCAGTTTCCATAATATCTCTGCCCACCCAGGGCAACTGTAGTGTCTCCATTCCACAGTGGAGCCTGGAAAATTGTTACTGACTGGGTAGCCTCCAAGCTCCATCCTTTAGCCATCCCAGAGATTCTGTTACCTCCCTAATATTTAAAATATTTGCATTCTGCTTTATTAGAGTTAGTTCCATTATTTGCAGCTAAGAACCCTATGCCTATAAATACTATATATAATACTACCATCATTTTTTTTGGGGGGTATAATCACTTTTGTTGAATCTTGGAGAGCTAGAATGGGAGATTAATATCCATCTTTGCACGTTAAAAGACCTATTTCCAAAAAAATACTTCAAATAAGAAACTTCTCCTCAAAGTACAAGGATAATCCAAATCTTCTTAAACAGCAATAAAAAAATAAATTTTTATTTATAATTAAAACAAATACTTCTGTATCATAAACACAATATTAAACTTCAATAAATATATCGCTAATTTGGAATGAGCATTTATTTGCACAATACCATATATACATTTTTTTTGCTATGAGAATGCTTTATTAGGCAAAACCCATACTATGAAAGTGCTTTAAAAGGCAACAGGAGGAGATGTGAAGACACAAAGAACAAGGGCATAGTGACACATGGATATTAGAACACACCATGGTAACAATCCACACTGCTTCCACCCTTTACCCAGAAAAGGAAGGATCTAGGCCCCCTCCTCCTCATCACTGTAGGATGCTGTGGTACCACCCAGGAATAATATTGATACTAGCATTAGGAAGCTCCAGGAAAAAAAGGAAGTATCTAAGCTGAGACAGGATAAATATATAAAAGTTAGCCAGTCAAAGGGCAGGTAGAAGAGTTCAGGCACAGCTTGTAGAATTTACAGAAGTCTAGAGGCTAACGTAAGGTGGGAAAATAGCTAGAGATGAAACTGGACTAGAGATAATCATAGGCCAGATTGTGTAGAACATCATAAACCACGTACAGAAATCCAGACCCTTGTCATGAGAAGAGGGGAATCACTGAAATATTTTATTCAGAGGAGTGACGTGATCTGATTTGCATTTTAGTAAGACCACTTAGACTGCATTGTGGATAATATACTGGAATGGGAGATTTGGGCAAGACACTTTAAAGGGAGGCACAGATCAAACAAGTGGAGATAGCTGTTATAAGCAGGTGCACTGAGGGATGGATAGGAATAGTCAAACTCAAGAGATACTTCAGAGGAGGCCTAATCTAACTCTGGCACTGGTAAATGTGTTGGGGTAATAAAAGGCATAAAAAAGGATTACCAGTAGGTTTCCAGTTTCTGGTACGATTCATTAAGATAATGCACACTGTGCATGTGTGTGTGTGTGTGTGTGTTTGTGTGTGTGTGTGGGTGTGTGTGATGTTTCAGGGATACAGAGAAAATGAATTATGATTGTGATTTGAACTTATTTATTAAAGGAGAAAATCCTCGGGGCCTGTAATCATTTGAGAGCCTAATAGGGAGGCTGAATGAGTTAGCATCTGAAGGATAAGCTCAATGTTGACACAGAAAAAAGATGGAGGTGGCATTCCTAGGGAAAGACGCAGAGTGAGAGAAGGCAGAGGAATGAGCATGTTAGAAAGACTCTCCTGCAGCATTTTTGTTGTATTTTATTTTCTCAGCAGAGTCTCTTCTCTTTGAGAAGAGCTACAGGCCATGTTGTCTTACCTGTACGTTGTCAGTTCATTGGAGAGAAATTCCACTAATATCCAGATCCAGCAGCTTTTTAAAATTTTCACCTCTCCCCTCCCATTACAAGAGGCTGAAAGAGAAGGCTCTGTTGGAAAGAAAGCGCCTATTAGTTGAGCGATAGAGCATTAACAAACTGCATTTAACATCACTTCCTGGGAGATGAGAATCCTGTCTTACTGGTGTCCATGACTGCACCAAGTGCCTTTCTTAGATATGTCTGTGCTGCCTTTGGTATTCTGGGGCTGTAAACACGTTGTTTAACGACAGCAACCAGTTTTAGCACTTTTTGCATTGTTTTGCATCTGTGGTATCCTTTATGCTTCAACGTATAGATCCTAGAAGTCAGCTTCTTGAAGGATATTTCTTTCAAAAGTGCAAATCATGGCAATTCATTCTAGGAAGGCTCACAAACTCATAGGCCTTATGAATCATCAAATTAGTATGCTTGGAGAAATTCAGGATGAAAACTAATTTCTGTATATTAAATTTCATTGAACCCTGAGTTCCTCAGGTATTAGGCAGGGAAAATACGCAAAAGTATTCTTTAGCCAGAAGTATTCCATACAAATATTAAGTAATGCTTATTAATGTCAATTCTCAGGAAGTTTGGGAGTGTCTAATCTTCTGGCTTATACTTCCTACCTCAGAAGTAACCCATTTTTTTTTTCCTATTCTGCCATTGGTGTGAAGTTAAAGATCAGATGTCCACATCCTTTCAAAGCATGATTTTGACCTCTTTGCTCCTATAGCCTCAAATGTAGACCTCTTTTCTAGGTCTTACTTTATCTTTCAGTGGTTTCAGTGTGATTCACTGGATCCCCAATGTATTGTTACTTTTCCTTTCATCCTCTCCTTTTATTCCTTCCCCACCTTAATTTTTTGCCTTTTGGTAAAATCAGATCTTTATGTCCAATTTCTGTGTCTGCCTAAGAAACTGTTTTTGATATACTTTGGTACATTTACCAAAATAATATTCCATGAATTAAAATAGCAAAACATCTTTCTACAGAGGTTTCTAAATAGAAATGGATTCCACATTTCTTTGAAGAAACTGGTTTTGAGGGTATTATAAAAGCTGCTTTTTCATCCTGATATTAGGCAGATCAGCTGGGGCCTGCAGGTCATGGTGAGGAGTTTGGATTGAGTTCTGAGAGCTATGGGAAGATATTCAGGGATTTAAACAGGGGAATGACTGAGGGATCTGATTTATGTTTTGGAAAAAAATCACTCCCACTGATATTTGCAGAATGGATTATAAGTATCTAGAGAGGAAGTAGGGAACTGGCAGTTAATTTCAGGTGAGATGATGATGGTGCTTGGATTAGAGTAGAGCAATGCATATGGAAAAAAGATGGAAAGATTTGAGATACGTTTTGTAGGTAGAAATTACAGGACACATGGGATAGGTTGATATATCTGGGATATAAGAAAATGAGTTAAAGGTCATCATGTATCTATTGCTAATATTGTAGAATAAAAGCCAGACAGCAAACCTCAGTGTCACACAAGAGTAAGTTTCTGGGGTGGTTGGCGAGGTATATCTGCAATGTGTCTTGATTTACTTTCATAACTGGAGTTTACCTTGCTGTCTAGATACTGGCTAAGATAAGTGAGGTTATTTGGCTCTGCTATACCTCTCCTCTCCAGCAGGCCAGCCTGGGCTTATTCTCCTAGCAATGACAGATGAAAGAGCAAGTGAAAACAGGAGAAGCCGTTTAAGGCCTAGGCTCAGAACTAATCTACTGTCACTTCCACCACTTTCTACCAGCCAAAACAAGTCATGCGGCCAGCTTAGACTTTGAGGTGGGTGAAAATAGCTTCTACCTTGGTAGTCTTTAGTGGGAAGAACTACAGTGTCACACTGCAGAAGGTCATGAAAATAGGGAAGGATGTAGAATTGAAAGCATTTGTTTCAGCTTAGCACATGGGAGACCCAAATTCGATTTCTAGGTTTTAGAATGAGCAATTGAATGACTGTCACACTACTCTCCAGGACTAGGGGAGAAATGGCGGAGCGGAAATGGGTATATTACGAATTCTCAGTCAAACACTAGATGCGAGAAGCCTGTAAGACATTCATCTTTTCCAAGACACTTACTTGTCCCTCTTGCTCCTTCCCTGATAGCAGCCCTCATCCTCCCTTCCCTGAAGGAATTTTCTCAGTAGAGGTAGGATTTGACCCAAAGTAGTCTAAGCCTATATTTTGTAAGTATTTCTTCCATCCACATATAGAAATTCTAGCAAATATAATTTTCTTGGTTTCATTACCTGCTCAGTGATACTTTAGTACTCCTTATAGACAGATGATCCTGGAGGCTTCCCAGCTGTCTTGCTGGGAAGTTAGCTGGGAAGGGCTGAAATCTCTCTTCAACCCTTTCCCAACCATACTGCCAGAGGCATTCTTTTAAAGGAAAATCTGACCATCTTCCTTCCTTGAGGTTTTTAAGAGCTCTACAGAACTTACTTGATAAAGCACAGCTATAAGATCCTGCCCATCTTGTCCCCTGCTGGCTTCTTAGTGCCATCATCTGCCATTTTCCCCTTTCCTTTGTGTTCCAGAAGGACCAAGCTGGCCACTGTCTCTCATGGAGTGCATATTGTTTCAGGCCTCCCTTCACTCCTTCTAGCCCTTTGTTTGGGCCTCCCTTCCTTCTCTTGTCCATCTGTCAAATTCCCAGTGTCTGTCACAACCCTGATAGAGTA